CTATCAGCAAGTTTGCTGATGACACTAAGCTGGGAGGAGTGGCCGACACGCCAGAAGGCTGTGCTGCCATCCAGAGTGACCTGGACAGGCTGGAGGGTTGGGCAGGGAATAACTTGATGAAATATAACAAGGGAAAGTGTAGAGTCCTGCATCTGGGCAGGAACAACCCCAGGTTCCAGTATAGATTGGGGAACGACCTGTTAGAGAGCAGTGTAGGGGAGAGGGACCTGGGGGTCCTGGTGGACGACAGGGTGACCATGAGCCAACACTGTGCCCTTGTGGCCAAGAAGGCCAATGGCATCCTGGGGTGTATTAGAAGGGGGGTGGTTAGTAGGTCGAGAGAGGTCCTCCTTCCCCTCTACTCTGCCCTGGTGAGACCACATCTGGAATATTGTGTCCAGTTCTGGGCCCCTCAGTTTAAGAAGGACAGGGACCTGCTGGAGAGAGTCCAGCGCAGGGCAACTAAGATGATTAAGGGAGTGGAGCATCTCCCTTATGAGGAAAGACTGAGGGAGCTGGGTCTCTATAGTTTGGAGAAGAGGAGATTGAGGGGTGACCTTATTAGTGCATATAAATATATAAAGGGGGAGTGTCACGAGGATGAAGCCAGGCTCTTCTCAGTGGCAAACAATGATAGGACAAGGGGTAATGGGTACAAGCTGGAACACAAGAGGTTCCACTTAAACTTGAGAAGAAACTTCTCAGTGAGGGTGACAGAACACTGGAACAGGCTGCCCAGGGAGGTTGTGGAGTCTCCTTCTCTGGAGACATTCAAAACCCACCTGGACACATTCCTGTGTAAACTTATCTAGGTGTTCCTGCTCTGCCAGCGGGATTGGACTAGATGATCTTTCGAGGTCCCTTCCAATCTCTAGTATACTGTGACAGGACAAGGGGAATGGCTTTAACCTGACAGAGAGGGGACTAAGATGAGATTTTAGGCAGTTCTTCCCTGTGAGGGTGCTGAGGCCCTGGCACAGGTTGCCCAAGGAAGCAGTGGCTGCCCCATCCCTGGCAGTGCTCAAGGCCAGGCTGGACAGGGCTTGGAGCAACCTGGTCTAGTGGAAGGTGTCCCTGCCCATGGCAGGGGATTGGAACTGCATGAGCTTTAAGGTCCATTCCAACCCAAACCTATTATGCTATTTTTCACTTTGGTCTCTCTCTTCTATTTTCACTGCTGGTAGTTCTCCAATCCTAAAGCTACTCCCCTCATTCAAAAGATACCTGTCTCTTCCATTTCCTGCATTTTTTGGAGTTCACCTATCAGTGTTCAAAATCTAAAAACTACAGGCTCTCTCTTGTGTCTCCAATATGCTGGAAAACATGTCAGTAAAACTCAAACACTTGGAGACACATTTCCTCAACAACTGCTGTGCAAATGGGGATTTTTCAAGCAAAACTCTGTACTCAACTGAATTTGAAAACCTTTCATGGATGTGTACCAATTTCTTGTCAAAAGCCAGTAAAGGCCTCTCTGTATGTAAAGGTATTAGAACACTGTGATTCAAAAAAACCTTTTATCATTCATTGTTAAATTTATTTTTACTTGCTACTAGAGCTTTAATGCAAGCTAGCGATACCCCAGGGCCCTGGTGGGGCAGATACCTTTTTTATTTCTTTTTAATATTTTGCTTTATTTAGGATCTTAAAAGTGGATTTAAAATCTTGATCTAAATATCAAAACAAACGTTGTTTTCCCCTTGATGATACTTCATCACTGATACAATTCACGGTTCTTGCTCTTAAATTTCAGATGAAAGTGTTTATCCAAAGAAGGTACAGAAGTGTAAGGAATTTTTCTGCCATTCTTTCATCAAATACATCCTTTTCATCCAGATCTGTGTCACTTATTAATAAACTGAAAACTATCTTACAACTCTGACTTCATGCTCACTGATTCATCAGTATATGCTCACTGGCCTGGATTCTCCTAAGGATTTTAAGTTGCTTGAGAGTGCAATGGAACTATTTCTCCTTTATTTCCTGCAGAAACACAGAATATCCATGAGCCTGACACCCTCTGCTTCAAAGGTTTTCAGCTTTTCCTTTTCAGTGTTTAGCTATTTTGCTGGCATTGGGAAAAATACTGAGGTTGAGTTACCCTCATATTTGGTTCACTATTTCCAGGAATGTGACATACTAAAAACAGCAAGCAGAATTCAGTATCCGGTAGTCAAATGAGTAAAGGCTTAAGAAATAAGTACAGTAGAATCCAAGCTCCTGAACAGAGAAGAAAGTTATCTCAAAGAATGTATTTTATCTCTTCATAGATTATCACCAAGATATCAAATAGTTCATTGCCTTTCCATTCAGATGCTCATACTTCACATAAAGTCCATTAGAGCAACCTTCAGCAGGCAAATGTCAACTCTAAGATTTAATGTTTTTCCTTCCCAATCTGTAATTATACTTGATTTTAAAATGTGGCTATTACAGATGTGACTGACTGTCGCTAGATAAGCCTTCATATAATGCTGTTTCTCCATTGCTACTGAATTACTTCTAAATAAAAGATTGATTTTATTTCCCTCATCTGAAAGAACACTCACCTTACTTGATTACACAAAAGGCACAGTGACAATACTGATCTGCAAGTGTGATTGTGGAACGGCATTTCCTTGGAGTTCACTTTCTTCTTCAGAAACTCTCACAAAAGATTTCTCCAGCCACCCAAGCATTTTCAAAAAACCCAACCATAAGGTCATCCAAAGAGGATGAGTAGGGACACCACAGTGCTAATACACCACAGATCAGAGTGCCCCTTGATGGAATAGGCAGGGGGGACAGCTTAGAAAATGGACAGGTTTTCTTTCTGGCCTATAAGCCCAGCATTTTAATAGTACTTGGAGTGGAGAAGGGCAATTTACAGATGAAAATCCATTCTAAAATCGAGACAACCCAGGTATATTTCCAAATATTTTAATAGATACCTGGAAAACTTTCAAAGCTGACATCTGCAGTCAATTTTTAAAAGCAGCTGCATTTAAAAAAACCTGGTAACATAGGGACCCCTTCAGAATCAAAGCTTGAAACTTGAAGAATCTCCTACAAAATGTGAATTATCTACAACTGACATGACATATTTCAAAGTTTTCAGTTTGCAGCCAAACTTACATTGTTAAATCCTACCTAGTTACAGGTCAGAGGAATAGGGAGACAACCATAAGAATATTTTGCACAGGAACTATGACAGCTAAAGAAGGTTTAATAAAACATTTAATAAGCCTCTATGATATTTTCAAACAAGACAGGTAGGATAGTACTTTTTTATACTTCTCCAAGACAGAATAAAAAGATACTTTAGTGGCAGTATCTTTCCATTTTCATTTCACTCCACTTGTATAAACCTGTTACACGTTTTAAGTAATCATTTGAGCATATCTCATAAACCTAAGCGTTGGGACTACATAGGGAAAACCAAGATTATTTCCATGTCTGTGTGGTCTTATACTAGCTTTGCTGAAATGTGGAGCAATGGTCATTCTCACGAGGGCCTGCACAACCCAGGATTAGAGCTGAGTGAGACAGCCTTGAACTCTTTCTGACTCAGCTGAGCCGAGGAGGCCTGGAGTTGAAGAAATGTAAGCAGAACGCTGAAACAGGAGCTTGCTGGCCACAAGGAATGCACCACTTATCACAAGGCATGCACCCTGCTGTTGTAGAGATATGTGTGTAAAACTTAGCTTAGCCAATAGCAGTGTATAGACAGGTGCGTGAACAGTTGTTGGGGACCAATGATAGCTTTGCTTTAGGAGCGTGGCTGATTTAGAATCCTATATAAACACTGTGTATGCAAACAATAAAGGAGAACGATCATACTCATATTGAGGTTGCGTCGTTACTCCGGGCCCGACTCCCACCCCGACACTGAAACACTGACAGTCTATCCACAACTTCTTGCATGATTGTTTTCCCACTAGGTACCACTGAGCCGACACAAGGGATTTTTCAGACAGCCAGGATGTGTTGAACATCTGTTTCTTTTATAATTGATAACTAGATTCACCAACTCAAACAGACCTGCTGAGTATTGCCTAAACATTACAACACATTAGCATTTATACCTGCTTCCACAGCTCTGCAAAGAAAAGATTAGTTACACACCTCTGGCATCATGAAACATCTGAAAAGCTAAATTACAGCATTAATTTTCTTGCTTAAGCTTTCAAAAAAGCCCCAAATTTTGTTTCCAAAATAAAACTGAGGTTGAGATGCGATGACTGATACTGACTGACAAACTTTAAAATTCCCCCCCAATATCTACCAAATTTTGCTTTCAGTTATACTTGGCAGCAGTACCTGTTCATTTACATTACTGATAGTAACGTCAAGGCAAGGAGGTCCCAGACCTGCTCCAAGGGCTGGAGCAGCTCTGCTCTGAAGACAGGCTAAGAGAGCTGGGCTTGTTCAGCCTGGAGAAGAGAAGACTTCTTAAGGGGAGACCTTAGAGCAGTACCCAGTGCCTAAAGGGGATGACAAAAAATCTGGAGCGGGGCTTTTGACAATGGCCTGTAGGGATACAAAAAGGGAGAATGTCTTTAACCTGATAGAGGGGAGACTGAGATGAGATTTTAGGTGGAAGTTCTTCCCTGCAAGGGTGGTGAGGCCCTGGCACAGGTTGCCCAGGGAAGAGGTGGCTGCCCCATCCCTGGCAGTGCTCAAGGCCAGGCTGGACAGGGCTTGGAGCAATCTGGTCTAGTGGAAGGTGTCCCTGCAAGTGACAGAGGGCTGGAACTGGATGAGCTTTAAGGTCCTTCCAACCCAAACCAGTCTGTGACTCTACGGTAAAGATTTTCATGGAACATCACTTCATAAAATCATTTGATTACTTTAGCTCTGATCAGGAGCTGAAATGTGCAGTACAATTTTGCAAGGAATATGTCTATAACTCTTAGCAAGTAGGTTCATTACAATCAAAGAAGTTGTCTGCTAAAACTTAAGATGGTAACACTGGTACATGGATTTGTGCTTTGAACTGAAAGCTATGTAAGGCAACTCACCTTGGATTATAAAGCATCCTTTCCAAATTAAATTCTTTGAGGTATGCAATTACTGCTGCCAGAGAGCAAATAACAGGCTTATCCAAGCTTAGTATTACAGATAGTTTTTGAGGACCTACAAAAAAAGTTATTTTCTTGTTAACTGTTTAGCAGTTATGTATTTTAGAAAAATCATAATCTATTTTTCAATTTAATCAGATAGAAATCTGATATTACAATACATGTTCAGTGTGCTGTGTTATCTACAAAACAACATAAAGTCAGGTTCCAAAAAAAAAACGGTTCCAAAGAATACAGAACATTACAATAATGTAAGCACATCATGGAACACTTGATTCCACAGGTTTTTCTTCATAAAAAATGAGTGTTGGCATAAAAAAATTCTAAATACATAAAACTAAGATCTAAATTCTGATATCGCCACTACTGCTGGAAACATCCGTGCAAGTTAAAAGACATAAACAGGCAATGGTATAAGTGCTGATGATTTATCTGTCTCGGGGAGTCTGCAGAACGTGGCTCCATCTTTGTGAGACAACTTTTGTATTTGATAGTGTTCCTCCACAGTGCTCTATTACAATCCCTGGACCAGCTGTAACAACAGGAAAATTCAGTCCATGATATCTCAACATAAAATGGTATTTTTTAGAAACCTATTAAGTGTTTTCACAGATGTTTTCTAAAGGTGTTCTTCTGTTCTAATAATGTTAACACACACAAGAATTTGAGGAAACATTTTATATTGAATAATTTTCCACAGTTGCTACTATGTATGTGTGAATTTAAATCTGCCTAAACACACGTCTTCAGACTATGAAAAAAAAAGGATGCTATACATGTCTCTGTTTAAATAATGTTCCCTTCAAGGCTCACTTCCTCCAAGCTCAGAAAAGATCCCAATGTGCAGAAAATTAAGTAAAGGTGACAGAAGACCTGCATGGACGAAGAAGATGCTCCTGATCAATTCAAATGCTAAAAAGGAGTATGAGAGATGGAAGGAGGGACAGGTGACCCAGAAAGAATATAGACATTGTTCAAGCGTGCAGGATGGGGTTAGGAAAACCGACGCCCACCTGGAGTCAAGACTGGCAAAGTATATGAAGGGCAACAAGAGCTTCTACAAGTACATCAGCAGCAAAAGTAAGACAAGTGATAATGTGCGCCAACTTTTGAGTGGGGCAGCAGATCTGGTGACAAAGAACATGGAAGAGGCTGAGGAACTTCTTTATTTTTACTGGCAAGATGTGCCTTGAGGAATCCAAGGCCTCTCAGACCAGTGGAAAATTCTGGAACAATGAAGATACCTCCTTAACAGAGGAGCATCAAGTTAGGGAATACTTAAACAAATTGGACACAGACAAGTCCATGAGACCTGATGGGATGCACCCATATGTATTCCTTTTTTTATGCAAAAGCTAACACAGCTGCAAAGACATTCCGAACGACATACCTGTAGTACCAGGCACTTCTTTAGTGTAAAAAACAGTGATCAGCTGGAAAGCACGGCTGTATTCAAAATAGAGGTTTTCCATCCTTTCTATCCTAATTCTGTCATCCCGTAACCTGCAAAGGAAACACAACTGACTTTCAGTATTTATGCTCCCTTCATTAAAAACACTTAAGTAGGTTATGAAGGTATACTTTCTTTCACCTTTTATTTGTTAAGAATTGAATCGGCAAAGAATGAAGAGATGATCTACTCAGGTGGGCTAACAACATTTCTGACCCGTGGTCAGGTCTTTTAAATGTTTTTTCTTTGCATTGTAAAACTGCAAACAAGTAAAACCCAAACATCAAGCCCAAAAGAGACTTACAGAGGTTGCCTAGTATACCTGCAGCCCTATATATTACTGCGTAGACGTAAGTACATTTTTATCAATTGTAAGTATTTGGCTTACTTGTTCTTAAAGACTTATGATAATTAAAAAATTAAGCAATTCTCCTATACTTCCTATTACCATATTTAATTATCCTTTATCTTTGAAGACTTCGCTCTATACTGTAAAACTTGTCGCAACATGAACCCATTCCATCATTTCTGATATGCAACTGAAATAAAGTATTCCTGCCCCTTTATTTTCTAACTGTTTGAAGACTTTTGTCTTCCTTGTGCTAAAGGACTTGATTCTTTTAGTTTTTTCGCAGTCCAGGATGCCAAGGATGTTGTCAGTACCCTCAATATGCCAGCAGTTCCTCCCAGTTCAACAGTACCAGCAAAGGTAGCAAACTTACTCTGTTCCACAATTAAGCCAAATGAGGTATCTTTCATGAATCCTTCCCTACTGTCAGTAATTAACTTAGAATTACAGCAGTACAGGATTTCACCCAGTTTTGCAACCCATGAGAAATTAATGTAGCTAGTTTCCTCTGATCCCCTGCTGCATTATCAATTCAATTTCTACAGCTGCTAATCTACCATGAAAGACATGTACTTGTTCAAAACAACAACAAAACAAAACAAAATAAAACAGAAATCACACACTCCCCCTGAGACTTCTGAGCATAATTACACAGCTACAGAATGAGCACAGAATAGCCAGCTAGTAGAAAGCTATCAGTAGAAGACAGATATCTACCTGGTCTCATACTACCATGGGACATGAATTAATTAATTCTAATTAACTTTATTATTGCAATGCAATTTTTTTTTATTAATTCGCAAATTAAGTACTTCTAGCACAATGGAATTATGTGAATGACAGGGACTGTGCAGGTGTCATAAAAGGAAATTAATCGATACCCTTTCTACAGAGCTTTAATTCACAGGAAAAAAAACCACACAGGTTTTCTGCATTACATTGTACATATTCCCATCTGAAAGGATCAACACATCAAGACCCCAGTTAATTTGACATGTATTATAGGAAAATAACTCTCATTTTTAAGTTATTAAGAGCTCTTAAAAATAAGAGTTATTTTCCTATAATACATGTCAAATTAACTGAGTCTTTGAGGTACGACTTTTCTCAGCACATCCTAGATGATCCCTTGCTACTTCAAGTGCCTTAGTTTTAACTGACCGATCCAATTAAGTTTTTATTCTCCATACCCTCTGGGATTCTCCCCTGCCCCAACCCTACTCAGAATGAGCAAGCATTTTTAAAGCAGATGGATTTCTGTAAAAGACAATTAGTCTGTGTTCCTCAGCCTCTGATAGCAACCAGCTATTTTCTTCCTTGCATTTTTCACTTGCTCCAAGCTTCACTAATAATCTGCTCTAACATATCCACCCATTTGGCTAAATTAGCATGTATACTCAGTACAGCCTTTTGCAAGAATACCCTTCAGCACTGTTGCATGCTAGCCAGAGGTCAGGAGAGTACAAGCCTTCAATAAGTCTTGTAAGACTGCAGGGCTTCTCCGTTGACCATGTGTGAGTAGGGACTTAAAGAAATCTTTTTAAAATGTGACTTTATTTCTCATTTGTACTTCTTCAGAAAAGGGAGGATTAGCAAGGTCTGCAGAGCTGTTTTTTTAAAGCCTAAGTCAAAACAGGAGGCTTTCACAGAATGATTTCAGGTAATTCACTGAATGATTCATGCTACACCTGCTTGTTTTTAAAGTAATGGTGAAAAAACTGTTGTAGTTTTATTTAACGCATTTTGATTTTTCTCTCATTTTTCACTTTATTCTTCACAACCAAATTTATACAACGCCTTAGCATAAACTTTGGCAAACTACAGTTACAATCAATGTAATTTGAGTGACTTCTTACAGCAGTGTTTTTGTTCATCAACTATATTGACAGAAAATAGTTACTAGAAATTAGAACTAGACAACTTGGTTATTTGTATTCAATTTCAATATTTATATTCTAGATACAGCATCATCAAACAATTAGCTGACACTTTATCAAAGTATGCATCTGATTTCTAGGTAAAACAAAAAAAATGGAAAGTTATAGGTATCTATTTAACAGATGGAAAAAAAATCTGAACTTTTATCACGATGTATGAAAACAAAATTTGATGCAGAGGTTTTTGTGTCTGTCCTTTGTCTAGCCAGATGATCACCCATAGGCCATTTTTCTGATTATAGCCAGAATGTATGTGGATGCTTATGTTGATGCTTTATCGCCCCAGCTACCAATGCCTGTTTAAATCGTAAGTCAATTAGCCATCAACTTTTGTAAACATCATTCTTGTCAGAACATCTACAATTAACTGCTGTGCAACTCATCCAGTATTTTATTGATATTCCTTCCAGAACTTCTGAAAACAAGCAACCTCATGAACCCCTGACATTAATAGGGCTAGTTAATTAATGAAAATCAACTTCACAAAGCTTTTTTGCTTTCCTTGCACAAATACTTCCACTACCAACCTTAACTGGATATTGGGCAGAGATACTTCAGGGTTTTAAATTGTCAGCTGATGGTACAGATAAATCTATAGAGCCTTTATTAAAATTTCCTGCTCTCTAAATGCACTGGGATTTGATGCAGAACTGTCTGCCATCATAACATGAGTTATGGGAGTTGCTTGAAGAGATTATCATCAGTCACAGTTAAGAATATGAAACCTATGTGTCCGTAAATACATGCATAAAGGATGGGATTCTAAAATATATTTATGCAGACAAACACACTTTCTTATAATGAAATATGTAAGTCCCAACCCATACTGTCCTATGATTCTGTTACTACAGGGACACATTTATCTGTCACCCAGCTGGAAAAATTAAATAGGGTCAACATCACTGGGTTTTATCGCTCTATTCATCTGGCAATTCAGTGCATTCACTTAAAGATTCACTGCTTACCAACTGCTGCAGGAAAAATATTTAAAAGAGATCACTAAGTTTGGGAGGGAAAATATCTCTTAAGACCAAAAAAAAAACCAAAAACCTCAAAACTAGAATAATGTAAAACAACATAAAACAAATATTAAAAAAATAATAAAATCATTTCTTGAAAGAATGAGCTTGCACATAAGCACAAGAGCTCTCTGCTGTCTGCTGATTAAAACAGGAGCCACTTTACTAGTGCTCTACAATTCGCAATTAAACAGGCATGAAGTGCATAAAGACTCCCCGAAAAAATTAACACACCCAAACTAAGTTTTCTTAAAGCTCAGGAAGCCTTCCTATGGAAAGCAAATAACTCCAGAATTCTACCTCCCAACTACTATCCTGCCCTGTCCATTCTGCTTAGGACTACTCGCATGCAGGGGTGCAGGCATCAATACTTTACTGTACATCCATTTATCACAACACAATTTCATAAATGATACAGAATTTCGGGAGATCTCTGCTCCTAAAATTCAGTATGAAGTTTTTACTTCTGATGATAATCACAGATTTATAAAACACAAATACCTATTATTAATTTTTTTCTTAACACTATTCAAACTGCCGTTTCCCCTGCACTGCAGCAGGACGGCTAGTTTATCTCTGTAAGGGTAAAATGCTTACCCTGCACAAAAAAGGCCTATTCCTTACTTATAGGTAAGATTCCTATTGCCCCAGAAGGAGTCTGGGCAAAAGGAGGAGTCTGCTTTGGTAGATGAGGATTGGGTTAGGGAACAGCTATGCAATCTGGACATCTATAAATCGATGGGTCCGGATGGAAGGCACCCACGGGTGCTGAGGGAGCTGGCGGAGGTTACTGCTAGGCCACTCTCCATCATCTTTGGTAAGTCATGGGAAACGGGAGAGGTGCCTGAGGACTGGAGGATGGCAAATGTCACACCAGTCTATAAGAAGGGCAAGAAGGAGGACCAGGGTAATTATAGACTGGTCAGCCTTACCTCCGTCCCCGGAAAGGTGATGGAACAACTTATTCTTGACTCCATTTCTAGGCATATCGAGGATGAGGGGGTTATTAAGAACAACCAACATGGTTTTATGAGGGGGAAGTCATGTTTGACCAATCTTATAGCCTTCTATGAGGAAGTGACTAGGTGGAGGGATGATGGTAGAGCAGTATATGTGGTTTTTCTTGATTTCAGTAAGGCATTTGATACTGTCTCCCACAGCATTCTCATAGATAAGCTAAGGAAGTGTGGGCTTGACGATCAGGTAGTGAGATGGATCAAGAACTGGTTGGAAGGAAGAAGGCAGAGTTGTGGTCAATGGTGCAGAATCTAGCTGGAGGTCTGTGACTAGTGGAGTGCCTCAGGGGTCGGTGCTGGGACCAGTGCTGTTTAATATTTTCATCAACGACCTGGATGAGGGAACCGAGTGTGCTCTCAGCAAGTTCGCGGATGACACTAAACTGGGAGGAATGGCTGACACACCAGAAGGCTGTGTTGACATTCAGCGAGACCTGGACAGGCTGGAGAGTTGGGCAGGGAGAAATTTGATGAAATTCAACAAGGGCAAGTGTAGAGTCTTGCATCTGGGGAAGAACAACCCCATGTACCAGTACAGGTTGGGGACTGACCTGCTGGAAAGTAGCGAAGGGGAAAGGGACCTGGGGGTCCTGGTGGATAGCAGGATGAACATGAGCCAGCAATGTGCCCTTGTGGCCAAGAAGGCCAATGGCATCCTGGGGTGCATTAGAAAGGGTGTGGTTAGTAGGTCAAGAGAGGTTCTCCTCCCCCTCTATTCTGCCTTGGTTAGGC